GAATTTATTTCGTGTAGAAATTGATATGAAAATTCAGTTTGCAGTTTTTATTTTCTTTTTAGATATTAATATTTGAAGAGAGTTATGTAAATTTTTCATTAAAATTTACAATATTTCAAATGCTGTATGATATATTTGATTTTTCTTTTTAAATTTTATTTTAGTATTTAAATATATTGTAAAATATGAGGAGAGAATAATAATAATAATAATTGCTGTATTTTCAGTATACATCAATTAAAATGTAAATAAAATTCGAAATTTTTTAAGGTAAAGAGAAGAATGTAAGCTATTCTTATAAGCTGTAGAATTAATTAATTTCTGTTTATTCAGTTCACTAGAGTAATACTATTTATTCATACAATTTCCCATCTTTTTACATAGTTTGGTTTGCAAATTTCGAATCTATTAAACATCTTTTATGTAAAATAATTAATTTTTTTATAATATGCCACTTTATGAGCTTCATTCAACTTCAATAGTTACAGCTTTAGAATTTATTTTATTAAAGAAAATATATAAAATAATTGTGGAAAAAGATTAATATAAATTTATTTCGATATAATGCTAAAATGTATGCGGTCGAATCTCTGAGTGAATCTTGAAAGGTGAGCTGAAAGTTGAAAGGAAAATTTAATTTATTGCTTTTAACAGTTTATAAAATAATAATAATAATAATAATAATAATAAAATTGTACAGAAGTCTTTGTCTAATGTTTAAAGAACTCCTAAAAGTACAGGTAGATCGATGTTTTATTACAAGAGCCAGGGTTTCTCAGTGGAGGGTATTACTCCCTGGAGATTGAAGATGTCTCCTCATAATCTCATATAAAACACATTTTTACTAAAAAAACTCCTAAAGGGTTATTGTTTTTATGTATATATATGTATACAAGAAGATGGCAATTGCAATTGTCACCCCCACAGATAAGGAAAATACCCACCAGGAATGTTTTCATAAAGAAACACTGATGGGACATACGTTCAAATATGCAAGAAAAAAAGGAACAGTGTCTTTTGCCGGCGATGATAATTACTATTTTTTTTTCAAATCGTTCTTCAAAAAACACGTAAAACGTAGTCTTTGGTGTGGAAGTTTTTTTAATTATCACCGCAGGCAGAAGACATTGTTTCTTCTTTACATATTTTAAATTAATCGTAGCATGCAATAAAAGACCAATTTAAGTCTATGTTTTTAAGTGTTCCTCAGATAGCGGTGGGTCCTTTAGTGAGGCAAACTAAACATTTTTTTTTTTTCTCTGTCATCACAGAATAAATGGAATTATTAATAGGTTACAAAATTATTGGATGATTATTTATTCAAAAAGATGCATTCCTGTAAAAATGGCCGCCGTTTAAAGATGGCCATTATTGCATTTCTGATAATTCAGTGCAGTTTTAGTTGAAGAACAAGGCATAGTAGCTATAATCTTGGTCATTGCACAGAAGAAGGAATGTTTTTAGGAGTTTCAGCATGTTCGAGAAGAACTTTTTTTGTACAAGAAACAATTTTTTGTGATTGTCTACAATGTTAAACGTAGTTAGTACTTGATGCTTTTTTTTAAAAAAAGAAAAACTTACTTTCTATGAGCCAAGTGTCTTAATCACACGAGAAACCAGAAGCCAAACTATCCATCTTATTAATAATGACTAACTTTGTACAGTACAGTGCATGTTTATTTTTTGAGTAGTCATTTTGAGTAGTGGCCTTTGTCGACAGGTTAATAATTAAATTCTTAGTAGCCGGGGCCGTCATTGGGAAGTTATTTAGCGAACATTTTTGTTCAAAAGAAACGTTCCTGAAAAAAATGGCCGCCGTTTAGAGGTGATCGTTATTACAGGTTCGATGTATTTCTTATTAACTAAACAAATTATTTAGAATATATATATATATAATATTTTCTTTTGATTTTATGAAATAAAACAATCAATTATTTATAATAATAAAAATTTTAATACTGTTATAAAATTTAAATTTATACATTTTCTACAATAAAATATTTGTATGTAGAATGATTTAAATAAAAGATTTTTTATTAAATTTTCACACAAAAACCAGATTTATTTTGCTACTTTATAAGTATATTGTATATTTATGATTGTAGAAACTTTATTAGACTTTAAAATTTAATCATAGTCGTTGATTCAGTGCTTAAATGAATCACTTTTTTTTATATTTAAATCCAAAAATGGTGTAGGACTTTAAAGATAATCCGAGATAATATATTAAAACGTGAAAAGTGTTTAAAGATAAATGATCCAACAGCTGATACACGTATTCATTTTCTTAAAGTACAATATTACATTCATACTCCTACATCATTGCTGGCATTCTGTTTAAATCCTTTGATATATCTTTAACTAAATAAATAATTCAATCTTTCTATTTAATACTGCAAAAGCCCCGAATTGATTCAGATAAATTACAGCAATGATACGTTATTGCAAAAACTACTACAGACTTAAGTACTTTATATTTAATTAACTTCAAACGAGACACGAGCAAGAAAATCTTAACGCAATATATTAATGTAAAAATGTTAATTTTAATATATTAATTCAACAGAAACATTATTTTATTACCGTATATTACTAGTATAGTAATTAAAATTATATATTTTTTTTCAATCTTTTTCTACGTTAAAATATAGAAAAAAAATGTGGATAAATGTCCAGATTCGTGTGCCAGTTTTTTTTTTTTTTTTTGGTGTAATGGCTTGAAAACTGGTAGAAGGCTTACTTTATTTTCTAACAAAATAGGAAAGTTGTTCATTCGTATATTAATAGTTCCATAAAATACTTTTTTTCCCTTTATTTCTTGCCTTTAAAAAGTGAAAAGAAGTCAATACTTAAGTAATTATTTTTAGAAGACGAACAAATTTCTTGTATTTTGTAGTATTTCTGAGCTATTCTACTAACAAAGCAAGCAAATTTTTTGTCAGAAAATTACTTTTTTCTTTCGAATGTTGAAAGTCAATTTCACATTTCCAACTTGAATGTATTTTTTTTTATATATATACATTTACATTTTTTCTAAAAAATGCAAATTTAAAACAAAAAAAAAAGAAAATTATATAGTTTAAATCGTACATTTTTCACTACATTTGCCAGTAACTTCAATAGAAAATTCTATATAAACAAAAAGGAAAAAAAAAGATTTCGATTTAAGAAATGTGTATATTTATAAGATATTTATCAATTTTTAAAGAGTTTAATAATATTTTTTTTAAAATATTTAAACAGGAATAAAACATTCTTAAATGATAAATATAATGAAATTATATTGCTATTGTTTTCGAAGTATTTATTGTGTTAATTTTTAGTTAGTTTTTTTTTAGATTAACAAACAAAAATTGAAATTTATTTACAATATTTAATGAAATAAATGTCTTTTGATTCTTAAAGAAAGAATTATCTTTAATAACAAGACAATTGTTTCATTGTTTCTATAAAAGATTCAAATATTTTATTGTTCTTTTACTGTTAAAATACAATACTTTTAATACTTTTGTATTGTTAAATTAAAAAGAATTATGTTGTATTATTAAGTTTCAATTGTATTGTTATTTTTCTAAAATGTGTGATATTGTTAAAGTGCAAAATACTTGTATATACTTGTATATACAAGTATATACTTGTATACAAAATAATATTCAATTTGTTTAATTTTTAATGCTAAATAAATTTGCATTTTGAATTAAAATTTATATTTTATCGAGACAATTTTTTTTCGTGTATACGAATGAAGAAAATAAAGAAAACTAACTGAAAAAAATTACAATTTTCGTATATAAAATTCGAGATAATTACAAATTTCTTCTTTAATTACTGCACTTATAATGATATATTTCCAAGAAGTGATATTGCAAGCTGAAGTTTAAATCGATTATTTTAATTAATTAATGACACCTTTTGATTTATATAATTGATTGAGAAACACATGAAATTTAATCTTGTTAATTTAAAGATTTGTGAAATACCTTTGATGGCAAAAGTAGTCTTTCATTAAAATAGAAATTTATTATTTTTATTTATTTATTTTTTATTAGTTAAATTCTAACTTCTACATCAAATTTATTTAAGTTGAATTCTTAAGCAAGTCTGTTTGTATGTCCTCAAAATTAACGAAAAACTCTTGATAAAGAATTATAATTTATTTAAATTAAGATTTACGTAATGTAATTAAATCTATAATGAATAAATTAATAATATATATATATATCTTCCTTTCTTTCTTTCTGTTATTGGCGCTTTTAAAATTATATATAAAAATAATTGTTGTAGATTAAATTAATTAATTTATTAAAAATACAAATTGTAATATATAATGATATTTATTCAAGTAAATAAATTGAAATTAAATTTAAAAATTTCTTAGGAATCGATCTTCAGAAATCGAACCCAATCCTTATGTTCATAGGCAATACGAATCAAAGCGTTGTTTCTCATCCTTCACTCATTTTGTCAACTCCCATTGTGGATCAGATGTTCTCATAATGAGCATAACTATGATCTTACAGCGTATAATATGCCATATTTCGTGTTTATTAATCAACCAGACAACCGAATGCCATTCAATTTTATGCTAGAAGGTTTTATTTTATTTTAATTGAAAGAGGGGGGAGTGCCTCCGGTTCCACTCATAGGTACGACCTGGAGGTTGGAGGAGAAAAGTGGTGAAATGGGAGTGAGGGAGATGAAGGATAAGGGATGAAAGGGAGACAAAGTGGGGGAGACAGGTGAGAGTGCATGGCGCCTGCAACACAAGTATTGAAGGCATAACAAAACATAATACAGAAAAAGAATTGACCGAAATACATTGATGTGCGCCAGACAGCGGCGAGTAAAAAAAAAGTATACATATATAAGAGCTACAACATAAATATACATAATAAATTACATGATATGTACAGTGAGAAATCGCTTACAAGAAGCGTGCAAAACAAGAGGAGCTGGTTGGAAGCCTGAAACAATTGTCGTGAGAAAAGACAGCTAGTTGGTCAATCATTACTAGCAGACTGCTGATCGCGTGGTGGGTTGAGTGCTGCTGTTGTTTCCAGAAACTTGATGAGATGTCGATAAATATTCGGGTCTTCCATGAGTCTGCTGTTAGGGCATGGCCAGTTGTTTCCAGCATGGAATACATGCCCCATGAGTCTGTCCCTCTCCTGTTTAAAAAGTTCACAGTCCCACAGATAATGCTGGCTGTTTTGGTTTGAAGTACTGTTGCAGGGACAGATGTCCGTGTTTTTAGGATGAAACCTTTTTAAATAGCTATTGAAATTACCATGTCCAGTAATTAACTGGGTCATGGAGAATGTTGGTTTGAAGTGTTTCCATTTAAGTCTTTCGTTAACGCTTAAGATAAAGGTGTGCGTTAATCTGCCTGTAGATCCGTTATCCCATTCTTCTTGCCATTGACCAAGAGCGAATTCCAAAGTCCATTGCCTGATTTTCGAAGCAGGAATTTTGTTGTAGCAAGGAGTAAGGCTGGAAGCAGCGGCCTGTTTGGCCAGCTGATCAGCTGCCTCATTTCCAGGTACACCAGTGTGTCCCCGGACCCACCTAAAAGAAATCACATGCTTGTGGCTATTGGTGCTAAGATAATGATGGATTTACAGGATATTGTCACCCTTATTATGGGGACTGAAGACGGAATGGAGGGCCGTCGTACTATCAGTGTGAATAGTGATAGTTTTGTTGCAACGGAACCATTCAGAATAGATATAATCCATTGCCTTGGCAATGGCCAGGATTTCCGCCTGCGGCACACTGCAGTGCGGACCCAGCTTAAAAGCAGATCTGTGGGTGACACCGGTGTTATGGTGGTAAAGGATGAAAGCTGCCCCAACATCTGTTAGATTCTTCGATCCATCAGTATAGATGGAGAAGTCGCTGTCAACATCTTCACTTAAGTAGTTGTCACGAAGAGTAGGATAATTTTCATAATAGTCGGAATCTGCCAGCTTGTGCTCGATGCCAAAGTTAGCGATGTCGCTCTTTATGTGGTCCGGAAAAACAGAGAGGATGTTATTATGACTATTACTGCTGTTGGAAACTTTGTCATTCATTTTGTTATAGATATTCCAGTTCAAAATAGTTGATTGGGAGGTTAACACTTTTACTCCAGTTGGAAACCTTTTCAAGTAAATTATTACAGAGGACAGGCAGTTTTCCGCTGTTCTTGTCCGACACGAGAATCACTGTGTCGTCTGCGTACCCTTGCAAAAGGTCCATTGAAGGTTACTCATTCAGGCTTATACACACTTTTATTCTGCTCATCAGTGGCCGAGTTATTACCACTGAACACTGGTCGTGGGTTTGCGTCTGGCCGAGTGAAGTTTTCCTGGTTTTCTTCACGTGCCTAACACTTAAATAGGGGGACAGTTTCCCATTGAAAGTCCTCCCAGGAGGCACCTCTCTTGGCAGATCGTTCGTGTTCTACGTTGCTTTACTCCAAAACTAACCAACATTTTTGTTTCTCAAACTTTAATTTTTTTCTTTAAACAGTTATAATTACTATTTACACTTTGAAATAAATAATTATTTTCATATTTTTCATTATTTTTATTAGATATATTCCTCATAAGGTTGTTTAGAATATCTTCTACTTCGCGACATGAATGATATTACTTAAATAAATAAATCTTTAGTTTCCTTAAAAGGGGGGGAATCTTGAATGTAATTTTATTAACAATTCACAAGGAAATGCAATTTTGTTGACACATTTTTTATTGAATAATTTATTGTTAAAATGAAGTTACATTTATTTTATTATGTACACTAAAGCTTTATTAATTTAAATCTTTGCTGCCTTTGAACACTGAAAGGGCCATTTTTTCAGGCTCATTATGGAGTTGGAAGCCATTTTCTGGAAGCAAAAGTCTTCCAGGAAGCTTCATAATAAAAAGACAAAGTCGATTACTTCTACTGTTATAAGACTAGAGAAACTATAAACTCTTTATACACTACAATGAAATTCTATTCTATATTCTAAAATTCAATAAAAATTTTAAAAAGTTAAATGTCATTTTTATTAAAATCACAAATGTCCTTGTCATCTTACTCGTCATCTTTTCTCTTCCTCTTCCTCCTCCTCCTCCTCCTCTTCCTCCTCCACCGTGTCAACAATTTTGTGGTCTGTGAGTTTTATTATTCTTTTCTTGCCACACAAAATTACATTTAAAGCATGAAAATTTATTGTTTTTATTATACTGTAGATGTTCGCCTGTTCCAATTAAAAGAAGACAACTTAAAGGAGTGTCCTATTTAGGGGTTAGGTAAAATACAGGAGTGTTTGACTTACAAAGGAGTCTAAAATCTTAGATAGGTGTTAAACTTAGAGAGGTAGACAAATTGTATGGGTGTGCCAAGTACAAAGGGGTGTTCAGTTATAAGGGAGTACAACTTGAAGGGTTTTTCTATACATATATTTTGAAAAAGATTCGTCTTTTTCGATATATATTGTTTAAATTCAATACCATTTATTTTTATTGATCTAGTTGATAATATACGATATTGAAACGATTACATCTTGTATAAAAATAACGAAAAAAACATAAAAAGTTTTATAGAATGTTCTCAAATGTAGAAAAATAATGTCTTTGATTGCTTACTTCTTTGATAAATAGTTGTTGAGAAATAGAGCATGATAAAAAGTACACAACAAATTCAATAATTCGAGAATTACAAATTTAATTATTGTTTTATTATTATTATTATTATTATTTAATTAAGCGTTTGAAATCACATATATTATAAATTACGAATTTATCATAGAGCCAAAATATTAAAAATTTTATAAATGTTTTACTTGTTTTAAAGCTCATTAATTTTAAAAATAAACCGAAAACAATCTACAATTAATGCTTAAATTTTAAAAAGAAACTGTTTAACTTTTAAAATATTTATTAAATTATTTATTATAGTATTATCCAAGATCAAATAGAGTTACTATTTAGTCCAAGCCCCAAAAATAGAGAAGCCCCAAAATTTAGTTTTTATATTAAAAACATGATGCGATCTTTTGATAATTGATAAAAATTCATTTTTATTTATTTTATTCATATATTTTTTTATGGATTTAGGAGAGAATAGAACACCATATTTGTGTCCTCTTCTCATTTTTCTTAGTACTGTTGTTCAGGTACGAACCCACGACCTGTGTTTAGTGGTGTTATCCCCTCGGTGTTTGGTAGGATTTTAAATTTCGAATAACAAAATAAAAAATTAAATTTCAATATCTAGAGTAGCGCAAGTAAATCAAATTTAACATTAATTTACAGATTATAAGCTAAATACAACTTATTTTTGTGTTAACTTTAACGTAACTACTAACACATAACTTATTAAATTATTATTTAAGATATTAACAATTTAAACAATAGTAAAATATAATTATAACTCAGTAAATTATTATTATTATTTTTTATTTACTGAAAGTTAAAATGATTTGCTATTGTTATTTTCCCAGGAAAAATAAAAAATAAAAAATATTCGACGAATGCATGCACCTTAAGAGAATTTAAAAAGAATTATTTTATAATATATAACTGTATTTTATTTCACATTGTTTTTGAGGTTAAAATAATATAAAAATTATTTCGATATTTACTTTCACTTTCTTGATCAAATGTATCTTTGATTTAACTTAACTTTTTTTCTAAAAGCGTGACAGCTTCTATTTTTCTGATACTGGCAAACCTCATTATTATTCTATTCTTTTTTCCATTTTCTGTAACGATTTTGCTAGATATAATTTAAGATTTCCATTCAATCTTATGAAACGTTATAGAAAATAACCTAAAAAAAAAATATTTCTTTTTATATAAAAAGAAAAAGAAGAAGACATGAAATTCTCTATGGAATATGAACCGAGCAATAAAACATAAGCAGCAATACTTGACGATTATTTTAACACATAACCATATTTTATTTTTATGTTTTATACATAAAATTTTCAATTAAATTCACTACAATTCTGTATAAAAATTCTGTTTACTTAAACATTATTTTTATGTAGAAAACTTAACACAATTCTCTAAAAGTTTAAATGTTTTATTAAGTTAGTTCCACTTCATCGAACTAAATAATTCTTTTTAACTAAGTTAATCTAATTCTCACTCTAGTCTAACCTACATAGCTTCATTCTTTAAATAGAACTGTGTTAATAAGAAATGACGTTATATACATTGTTTCTTGTACCTTTCTTATTCTACTCTGTCATTTTTACTTAGCTTATAGACTAATATTCTTATAGAAAATATCCAAAAAAGGAAATAAAATAATACATTTTCATATAGTCTACGTTAATATTTATAAGTGATACTACTACTGAATAATATACAGTTTTTTATATACGTTAACGTCGCTTCATTTACTTGGTAAGTATCTTAGTACGTTCATCACTTACAATAGTTAATCGTAAGCTCAACTGGAATGAAAACTGAATATTTCATATTATACAGTAAACGTTTAAAGACATCACTATTCAAAAGCTATTACGACTACACGTATGCCTGAATAAATTTCAATTCCACTCTTCATATTCACTAGAGATGCATCCTTTATAAAATATTGTCATCTCGAATCATAATTCTGAACCTAGCAAGCTGTAGACTCGTTGTAAATGTCGTTAAAGGATGTACTTATTGTGTTTTTTGCGAATACCAAGAATATTAGGATCGTCACGAAACGTTCGTTTGATTGAACCACGAGATGAGAGAAAGTTAAAAAAAGGACAGACAGACAGATCAATCATCTCTCTGACAGGCATTTCTTCTATTGGAATTTCACCATAGTGTTTTATTGTTAGATATATTTAAAAGGTACAGTACATCGCCTATCACGATATAAATTGTTAAAGATTGCATTACTTCTTACAATCTTACAACTAAAAAAAATTAATATTTGTAATACTTTATAAATAATTTAACACGCATCTTATACGCTACTTAATGTATTTTTTTTAAATATTTAACGTTAGAGAAAGAAGCACACCAAGCAAATTATTCAACTTATAATTAATTTATCGAGAGAAAGACAATCTACTGCTAATGTATATCGAGTTATTTATTGATAAATACAATTATTTTAATTATATATATATATTTTTATAATATATTTATCGCATAACAACGTTAATTTTTTTATAAGTTTTGCCTTAATATTTAATGATGTTGATAGTTTATTATAACAAACATGTAAAAAAAAAATCTCGTGGATTGATAAAATGTTTTGTTAAAGTTTTAAATGATGTAGTGTGGTATCAGAGTATTGTAAACGGTTTAAAAAACTATAAATCTTTTAGTTTTTTTTCAGTAAAAAAACCTTTTAGTCAGATAAAAAAAGTATATATATATGTACTTCTGACGTGACGATGAATTATTATAATATTGTAAGTTTTTAAATGCATAAAGACCTGCATAGTAAACAATTTCTCATAGAAATACAATTTTTTATCGCTTTAAAAAAGCTATTTTTTATCGCCTTTTATTCAGTTATAAATAAATTTAATAGAATATTATTGTTATTTATCTAAAAGAATTTTTTTNCTTTTTTTTTATTTTAATTAATTGTTTAATAAAAGACTGAGGCCTTAAACTATAATAAATAATCCGGCCCTTTCCCATGTTAATAATAAAGCGCGAGGTTCTAAACTTCAGTTTACTTAGATTACGTGTAAATTAGATCCTATATTTTATTAATTTTTACAAATATTATATTATAGTTTAATAATTAAGTAATTTATTAAATTATTATAAAATTTTTCCATTTAATTTTTACTAAAAACGTTAATTTTTTATGTATTTAATTGCTTATTATAATGTAAGAAAATAATAATAATAATAATTACATGTAATCTTATACTGTTTAACGTGTAAAATTATAGATCTTTTTTTTTATATAATTATATTTATTTTAACGTTAAAATTTTATAAATTTAAAGCATTCTAGTCATTTTAATGTTAAAATATTGATCGAACTGTTGGAATTTTTGATGTTAGAGATACGACTTATCGAAAATATGTACGAATATTGATGCTGTAGGTTGAACGTATTCAACGTATTT